GGGAGTGAGCATTCCACAGTGTGGAAACTGGGCGTGTATTCATGTTGCTTCTGGGCCCATCCGGGCCCCATGCATAGAAGCAAAGAGGCAGAGAGACAATCAATCTGGAGGGCATCCTTTGGGCGCCTGGATCGAGCTATGCCTGAAGGACACTTTCCCCAACTTTCAGTTCATGAGCCAGCCAAGGCACTTATTTGTGTTTGCTAGTCTGATTTCGGTTCCACAGCTTAAAAGAGACCTGTCAGAAAATCAGACAGCCTCGTTTTGTGGCTGTCTCTCTGAACTCAGACTTCCGTGTAGTTCAGGCTCCCTAGGGTTAGCCCCTCACTCTGCTGGGAAGACTGAAGGGATTCTACTCAACTTCCGAGCTAGAGGCCGCATGTCCCATGTGCAGAACTTGAGGTGGAGCGTGTCGTGTTCTTTTGGTAGAAGACCTGCCCCCTGTCCCATCCATGAGGGAGGGAGAAGGCATTTCCTAGGAAATGTGGCCAATCGGCCTCCTCTCTGGTCCCAACTTTCCTCCATCATAGATGGAGGTAAGTAATGGAGACTTTACAGTATTCACTTCAACACCTTCTCTCCATCGTTTCCCTCATGGTCTCATTTCCTCCTTCATATCTACCCCCAGCTTTATACCGTGAACCTCACATCCCAATTACATTCTCCTAAAACCAGGCAGCTCCTTGAAGGCAAGGATTCTGAAGCTCTGTGTAACATACTTTGGGCATGTTGCAAGAAGGGACCAGTCCTTGGAGAGGGATGTCATGCTTGGGAGGGTAAAGGGACAGCACAAGAAAGGAAGACCCTGGATGAAATGGGTTGACTCAGTGACAGGGGTAATGAACGTACGTAGGTGTGTCAGAGATAGTGAAGTTGGCTCAGGATAGAGCAGGGTTCAAAGCTGTTGTACATAGGGTCACTATGAGTTGCAAGTCACTCGACGGCACATAACAACAACAATGTCCTTTGCTGCCATTTCCTCTTGGCTTGATCCAAAAACCAGTATAGCCGAGGTGCTGTCTGTGATCTCTCTTGTCCCCTTGAGCCTCACCATTTGGCCCCATCTGGCCCAGCGGCAGCCTAACCAATGCCTGATGGGTGGACCTCAATGGATCCATACCCCTGCTTCCTGACTCCAGCTCAGGTGGGGTGACTGAGGTGCGTGTTCCACACCACCTCCCAAAGCTCACCATGAGATAGAGCCCTGGTTGTCCACAGTGGGCATTTGAGAAGGAGCAACTCTCTGACTTGAGCAGGATTAGGAGGCAAATCCGCACCACTGAACCGATAAGCAACATCATGATCGATGGAGAAAACTGAACTTGTCAATGACTTTATCTTACTTGGACCCAACAATCAACCCCCTTGGTATCAACAGTCAAGAAATCAGAAGACATATTGCCAGGGATTTTTCCAAAGCGCTGAGGAGCAATGTTATGTTGGAGACTAAGGTGCATCTGATTCAGGCCATGGCTTTTTCGAACACTTGCTGTGCTTCTGAGAATGACTTGGGATGGTAGAAGATGGCTTTGAACTGTGGTGTTGGAGTACCGCACTGAATATCCCAGAGATTTCCAAAAGAATGAATGTCTTGGGGGGGAAAGCAGCCAGAATGCTCCTTGGAGGCAAAGTTGATAAAGCTTCATCTCACATCCTTCAGGCATGCTGCCAGGAAAGGCTACTCCTTGGAAAAGGACAACATGCTTGGAAGTTGGAGGTTAGAGGACAAGACCTTCAGATTAACAGTGACTGCAGCAATGTCAGAGATGATGAGGATGGCACTGGATAGGACAAGGTCGAGATCTGTTGTTCATAGGGTTGCTGTGAGTTGTATACTACTCAGTGGTACCTAACAACAACAGGGTTTCCTTGCACGTGGAGTTTTGAGAGCTGATAAGCCTAGAAGGTTCCAGGCAAATCATGGCAAGCTGATCATTATTTCTGCCTTCCTCTTCCTGCTCTCTACACACGCTTTCTCCAAGATCAATACTCACAGTCCTTTTGCCTCACATTTCCTGGAGAACTTGATCTCAGTTCATCCCATCACCCTGCCCTGCCTGTCCCACCCCAGCCACTCCTGAGCTGAGCACTCGCAAGGTGCAGGCACTGATCTTGATGTTTCCTATAAGCAGCGCCAGTGGCTGAGTGGTAAGGAGTTGTGCTGCCAGCTCAAGGGTAGGCAGTTTGAATCCACCAGCTGCTCTGTGGAGGAAAGATGGGCAGTCTACTCCTGTGATATTTAGCCTCTTAAGCCACCAGAGGGTGAGCTATGAGTCAGTTCCAAATCAACAGCAAACAGTGGCTTAGTGGTTAGAACTCGTGCTGCCAAACCAAAGGCAGATGATTCAAATCCATCTGTTGCTCCATGGGAGAAAGATGAGCAATGTCCTCCTGTGTGATTTGTAGCCTCCGAAAACCTGCTACGAATCTGTTCTGACTGAACAACAACGCACATCGTTGTGCTAAGTGGAGGAGAATGACATCACCAAGGGCTTATTTTACTCAGCTCCACAACCAACACCTCTGTGAGGACCTCTTTGAAGAGCTTAAAGAAAGAGCAAGCAAAACAACTCTGAGATACCATCTCACCCCAGTCAGAATAGCAAAATTTAACAGAACAGCAAGCAACAAATGCTGGCGAGGTTGTGAAGAAACTGGATCCCTTACTCACTGTTGGTGAGAGTGTAAAATGGTGCAACCACTGTGGAAGGCAGTATGGTGCTTTCTCAAAAAGTTGTAAATAGTGATACCATTTGACCCAGCAATTCCACTACCGTGAATATACCCCAAAGAAACCATAACTGACACCCAAGCAGATATATGCACACCCATGTTTATTGTGGCCTTGTTCACAATAGCAAGGAGTTGGAAACAACCTAAGTGCCCACCAACAAAAGAATGGCTAGAGAAGCTGTGGTATATTCACATAATGGAATACTATGCTGCATTAAAAAACAAGGAACTTATGCACTATTATTAAAAATGGGTGACCCTGGAGGACATTATGCTGAGTGAAATATCTCAGTCACAAAAGGACAAATACTGCATAATTCCTCTGTTGTAAAATGGGATTGACCTCGGGGGTGGGGGGAGACTGAGAAAGATGGGATAAATGATGTATACTGCATTGAAACAGATGAGGGAGAGAACTGTTTAAAGGTGATATGTGATTAGGTATTATTGTCATGACAGGAGTTCCGAATGAAGGCTGCATAGTGGAGTGGACGTCGGGGGAGGGATTGTGTAACAATAGGGGAACTTTTCTTTTACTTCTCAAAGAGAAGAGCGAATTGGGGGAGGGTGGGGTGGGCAGGGAGAAAAGTGCAATAATAATGAATGGAAATCCTCAGTGTCTGTAAACTTTCATTAAAATTAATACTAATAATTAAAAAAAAAAAAAGAAAGAGCAAGGATGTCACTTTGAAGCTAAGGTGTGCCTGGCCCAAGCCAGGGGATTTTCCATTCTCTCTTCCGCATTCCTTCTCCTGCTAGACAATGAATAATGAAGCCTGGGGTATTTATGCGTTTGAGTTGTGGTGTTGGCAGCGAGTAGTGAATATGTATGACGTGTTGCCAAAAGAACAAACAAATCTGTCTTGGTAGATGTGCAGCCGAATGCTCCTTACAAGCGAGGACGGTGAGACTCCCTCTCACACACTCTGGGCATGTTGTCAAGAGGGGCCAGGCCTGGAGAAAGACTTCGCGGCGGGTGAACCAGAGGGTCAGAGAATAAGCCACAGCCCCTCAAGACGATGGTTCAAACGGTGACTCCGCAGCGGGTGTTAGCACAGCAGAGATGATGAGGACGGGCCAGGAACAGGCGGGGTTTTGTCCTGCTGTGTGTAGGGTTGAGATGAGTCACACCGCCAATCACCTGCACAGAACAACAACATACACACATCAGCTTGATTTGTTCTTCTGATGGGCCTTGGGGAGGCAGCCTCTGTCACTCCCTCCCATTTCACACGTGGGGATGCTGACGGTCAGGCAAGAGAGCCACTCTGTTGGCAGGAGCCTCGCTCGCCGCTCATACCACCGTGCTGGATACTGGGAACCTGGGGCCGGGGGCCGTCCTGCACACCCCAGGTGCATTACCTCATTTAATTCCCCAGAGGTGAGGACATACCACTGGATGGAGAGGGAAACTGAGGCCAAAGAGGTGGCAGGGTTCACGCCCAGGCTGGCTGGCACCGAGCTCACTGCCTTAACCACCATGCTGGTTCCCTCATACATGTAATTTCCCCTCCAGCAGCCACGGCCATCTGGGGAGCGGGGACTCTGGATGCCAGCTGGCTGAGAGGAGGAGGTGCTGTAGAACTGGACAGGCCAAGGGACCCCAGGCTGGCGTCTCGGCTGGCAGCCTGAACTCAGACCTCTCAGAGCCCTGGCTGCCAGCCCTGCCCCTCCTGGGACCCTTCTGCACCCTGAAACCTCTCCACCCGTCACTCCCCACGTCTTCTCCTGTGGTCAGCTCAAATACCAGACAGGCCGAATCTCAGCTTTTCCCCAAACATTCCTTGCTCCTGTGGCCCAGCCCAGGCTGGCTGAGGTTACGCAAGCAGGAGCAAGGATGGTGGGGGAGCCGGGGAGAGCTGGGGGGCCGGGCTGGCCTGTCCTCGTCACCCCATCCGGCTGCCTGCCTAGCCTCCCCAGGGCGGGCCGGGAGTGGGCCAGCCCCTCAAGTCCTGTGAAGAACAGGCCGGGGGTGGTCTGTGTTGAGAGATGGGGTTGGCGGCAGCTGCGGCCGAGGCTCTAGGAGGTGACCACCTGGTTTCCATTAGGGAGCCCTAGTGGGCAGCTCGGCGAGGCGGCAGAACTAGGCTGGCTATGGTAAGGGGCGGGGAAGGGTGTGAGGGTGGGCCCTGCCTGCCCCAGGCTCTGCCAGCTGGCTCTTGCCACCATGTCTGGCCCCCCCAGCCGCTCCCAATTTTGGATGCTCCTGTTGCCATGGAGACCTGGTGCCCAACCAGGGACCTGCTGACCACTCCCTCCACTCCCAGCTGTCGATCCTGCTGCTACTCCTGCTGTGGTCAGGCCCCCCAGGGGTCCCCAGCATGGAGGATGCTGACTTCCCCCACCTGGGGGAGAGCTCGCAGCCCCTGCCCCGTGCCTGCCCCCCACGCTGCTCCTGCCCACGTGCGGACACTGTGGACTGTGATGGCCTGGACCTGCACGTGTTCCCGGACAACATCACCAAGGCCGCTCAGCACCTGTCCCTCCAGGTGGGGCTCGAAGGCCCACTGGGTGCTGGGGGGCGTGAATGGAGTCAGGGAAAGGGATTGACTGGGAAGTGCCAAGACAGGAAGCTATGGCGTTCAGTGCTGGTGACAGCACTAAGGTCTCTGTGGGAGGGGAGAGGTGCTGGGATAGTCATGGGAAGTGACAGGAATTGGGGTAACTGTGGGTGTGACAGTGTTGGTGCCCACGTCTTGGTGGCTGTGAAGATGTTTGGGGTTGACTGTGGGGGCAATGGGGTTGACATGTTACAGATCCAGGGCTGTTTGGTGTTAGGGTGATGCGGATTGGAGTCAGCTGTGTTTGGAGTGGTTGAAGTTGTCATCTTGGTGGCTGTAAGGTTGTTTGGGGTCAGGATATTGATTGTAGGGTTGGTGAAATACTGGGGCCCATATCTTTGGCAATGAAGTTTTTTGGTGTCAGAGTGAAGGGGAGTGGGGTTGACTATAGGGTTGATGGGGGACAGGGGCCCATACTTAGCAGTTGCGGGGTTGTTTGTGGCTCAAGGGCTGACTGTGGTGTGGAGTGTTAGGCTGCTTTTCTTGGTGGTTATGGGGTTGTCTGGAGGCAGGGGTAGTGGGGATAGGGGGCATGGTGGAAGGCTGGGTCTGGCTTGTTGGTGCTGCTGACAGCTCACAGGGGCGGTGGGTCTCCAGGGCGAGGGTAAGAATGCCCACCCTCATCCTGCAGAACAACCAGCTCCAGGAGCTCCCCTACAACGAGCTGTCTCGCCTCAGCAGCCTGCGGACCCTCAACCTGCACCACAACCTCATCTCCTCCGAGGGTGAGGGGCGGGGGCCCGAAGCGGCCCCTTCCTGGCTCCAGCCTGTGGGGACAGGAGATCCCAGGAGCCCTGGCCCTCCCAGCCCGAGTCTGTGGGCAGCTCTGTGGCTGACTTCCCAGAAGTGCCCTTTGCTGAGCAGGGTGGAAATTTAGGGGTTGGGGGGGTTGTGGGTTTTGAGTATGGATGGGGGAGGGGGATAAGCTAGGAGCACACAGAGAAACCACTGCTAGGTCTTAGCAGAGCCCTGAGGCAGCTGGGAGCATGGGGTGTCCCCAGCTTCCCCACGGGCAGGGTCCCCTCACTGGTCCCCACCCCTAGGCCTGCCAGATGAGGCCTTCGAGTCCCTCACCCAGCTACAGCACGTCTATGTTGCCCACAACAAGGTGAGTACCCTCATCCCCGAGGCCAAGCCCAGAGTGATTCCTGGGAGCTGGGGGGACATCAGGATCAGGGAGATGTGTTTCCACAGCTATCAGTGGCCCCCCAGTTCCTGCCTCGCTCCCTCCGTGTTGTGGATCTGGCTGCCAATCAAGTGACAGAGGTTTTCCCGCTCACATTTGGGGAGAAGCCAGAGCTCAGGTAACCCCCCCACCCAGCCCAGAAGCCCAGGCTTTAGATTCAGCTGGGATCGTGTCCCTGGGGACCCTGCCCGGGGAGGGTGAGGTGGGCATGGCCCTATCCTGGGGCATCTGATGGGAGAACTCCAGGGTACCCACACATGCACACACATAACTGTCACACTCTCGCCTGGCCACACATCACACAGTCCGTCACACTCTCAGGTTGCCATAGACTGTCATATCCTGTCACACTGTTACACTTACACTGTCACACATTGTCACGTTCACCCCCTCAGTCATACACCCACATACTCTCACCCTCACACTCTTACGTTCACACTGTCACATTCACTCTCACACCCTCACCGTCATAGTCACACACACCCTCACATACTGTCACATACACACTGTCTCCAAGGCCCTGGGGCAGCAGCGGGGGTCACGTGGGGAGGGCGAGCGAGGACAGGCTGGTGGCCGGAGCCTGGTTTCCCTCAGGTCCGTGTACCTCCACAACAACCAGCTGAGCAACGCGGGCCTGCCCCCGGACGCCTTCCGCGGCTCTGAGGCCGTCACCACCCTCAGCCTCTCCAGCAACCGGCTCAGCTACCTGCCACCCAGCCTGCCGCCCTCGCTGGAGCGGCTCCACCTGCAGGTGCGGCCCGGGGCGAGGGGTCAGTGCGCCCTGCTGCCCCCCACGGCCCTGTCAGGTGTCATGACGGTGACACCAGTCATGGTACGCAGCAGTGCAGATTGAGCACACACACGCAGGCGTTTGTGCACACACTCCCCCAGGTCTCTGGTGATGGAGGCCAGGCCTGTCTTTCCAGCTCGCCTCTCTCATCAGCCCTCCTGGGTCCCCTCCTTCATCTCACCCCTGGCTGCCCCTTCTCCCCACCCTCTCTCAGATGCCTCCTGGCCTCCTCACTTGCTCCTGAGACCACTCAGGCCCTCCTCCTCATCCCCTGCCAATCCCAGCAGTCAGAATTACCCTTCCTGAGATCTCCCTCACTGAGTACCTTGCTAAAGGCAAAGCTTCTCATCACTCCCTCACCTCAGGGCCTTCCGTGGTTCCCAAGTGCCCCCGATCCTGACCCCTTGGTCTCATTCTGTCCCTGACTCCCCAGAACAACCTCATCTCCAAGGTGCCCCGAGGAGCCCTGAGCCGCCAGACTCGGCTCCGTGAACTCTACCTCCAGCACAACCGGCTGACTGACAGTGGCCTGGATGCCACTACCTTCAGGTGGGGCCTGTGGTGGGTATGGGGGTGCAGAGTCCAGGACCCCTTCTGTCTCCTCCCTGCGTGACTCCTAGCCCAGACTCATCTGGCGAGTCCGTGTGTGCCAGGCTCCACAGAGTGCACGGCTGTCCCCTTCTTCCAGGCACATGGGACTCTGCGGTCAGAGGGCTATTCAGCTCCCTGGTCACCCATCTTGGGTTAGGAGCCGCCTTGGTCACTCCACATTTGCCTCCCACTCAGACCCCTAAGACTTCTACGCCTAGATCTCTCCAGCCACCTCCCCCGGTCCTGGCCTGGCTTCCACTTTGGGGTGCCCTCTCTCCCACCAGCAAGCTGTACAGCCTCGAGTACCTGGACCTCTCTCACAACCAGCTAGCCGAGGTGCCCGCCGGCCTGCCCCAGGCCCTGGCCGTGCTGCACCTGGGCCGCAACCACATCCGGCGGGTGGATGGCGCCCGGCTGCAGGGGGCACAGGGGCTGCGCTACCTGCTGCTACAGCACAACCAGCTGGGGGGCACAGGGCTGCCTCCGGGGGCGCTGCGGCCGCTACGGCGTCTGCACACCCTGCACCTCTACGGCAACGGGCTGGACCGCGTGCCCCGGGTGCTGCCCCGCCGTCTGCGCGCGCTGGTGCTGCCCCACAACCAGGTGGCTGTACTTGGCGCCCGCGACCTGGCTTCCACGCGGGGCCTGGCCGAGCTCAACCTGGCCTACAACCGCCTGACAAGTGCCCACGTCCACCACCGCGCCTTCCGTCCTCTGCGTGCCCTGCGCAGTCTCGACCTGGCTGGCAACCAGCTGACCCGGCTGCCCACAGGCCTGCCCTCCAGCCTCCACGCTCTGTGGCTGCAGCGCAACCAGCTCCGGGCCCTCGAGCCGGAGCCGTTGGCTGGCCTGGACCAGCTGCAGGAGCTCAGCCTGGCCCACAACCGGCTCCGGGTTGGCGACATTGGGCCCGGCACCTGGCATGAGGTGCAAGCACTCAAGGTCAGCGGGGTGAAAAGGAACACTGCTTTGGGCCCCTCCATCCACCCAGACCCCACAGGTCCCCAAGGCCTCTGATGTCACAAAGCAGCTCTGCTGGGCACCAGCCCTGGAAGGAGACAGCCCCGGCTACATGCCTTTGCCCTTGTTGCCTTTGTCATTGGGCCCCTGAGACCACATCCTGCCTCCCCAGTGGATAAAGCTGTCTCCAGCTTCTTCTGACCCAACTAATCAAGCAGGGGTCAAGCTGCCATAGCCTGGGCACTCTACAGGGTTCTAGGCCTCCTCTGGTGCCAAGCCTGGCCTGGCTCTGTGACAGCCGGCACAGGTCCAGCCCTGCGGGGATGTTAGCAAACCATCGGGGTGGGAAGGCCCTGTCCACGGCTCCGGTAACAGCTGCGTCCCAGCACCAGGGCAGGGCTTGTTCAGAGGAGGGCTCAGTTTACATCATGGGGGACATAGAGGCAAAGGTGCCGAAGGCCGGACTGGGTATGGGGAGATGTAGCCGCCACCACCACAAACCACCTCGCCTGCTTGCCAGGTGCTGGACCTCAGTCACAATGAACTGTCCTTTGTGCCACCGGACCTGCCAGAGGCCCTGGAAGAGCTACACCTACAAGCCAACCGCATTGGCCACGTGGGCCCTGAAGCCTTCGCTGGCACACCCCGCCTGCGGGCCATCTTCCTCAGGTGCCAGCGGGGCAGGTGAGGGGTGGGTGGCTATCATGAGCTAGGGGGCCTGTGTCCATCCCGCCCTCACACCCACCTCTCTGCCCAGGGCCAACAGGCTTCATATGACAAGCATCGCGCCCGAAGCCTTCCTGGGCCTCCCACACCTTCAAGTGGTGGACACGGCAGCTAACCCAGGGCAGGTCCTTGTCCGGCTGCAGCCCACGGTCTCCTCGGGCAGGGGGCCACTGAGGCCCAGGGACTGATGAGTGGTCCACCTGGCACCTCTGCCGACTCACCCAGACCTCAGGGACTGACAGAGGCAGGGGTATCCCTCCACGCACAGAGCAGTGGGGCAGCACACAAGGCTCGACCTGGGTACATGCTGTGACCAGTGCAGATGGATATGGTGACAATAAAGTCCTATCCTTCAGACGTTCACACAGACCAGGGACACTCTAGACGCTGGCTCCTGCAGGGGCTTGCTCTCTCACACACACACACGCGCACGCGCCTTGGACTCCCCAGGTGACAGGGCCTACAGCCTACAGGGATATCACTGTGCCACCCAAAAAAACCCAAACCCATCGCCACTAAGCTCATTGAGACGATGTGTACGTACATCCGAACAGACCTGCTCTGCAAGGTTTTCATGCTTGTCATTTATGGACTTGATCACCAGGACTTTCTTCCTTGGTGCCGTTGTCTGGGTCTGAAGCTATAACCTTCCAGTTAGAAGTCACTGAAAATGTTTACACTTCCCTAAGAGCCCCACAGGCCACTGAGCCACAGATATACCCAAGGCCAGCTGCTGCAGAAGCAGAAAAAGGCCACAGACACCCCCCCCCCCCATGACAGCCAGCTTTCATGCACATCCCAGCTGCAGGCACTTGGAACAGATGGCCCCAGCTCCAAGCTTTGGAGACGGTCGCAGTCTGGCCACCAGGGCTTGAGGAGGAAACAACAGACCAGAGGGCTGGGCTAGGTGTGGCCCAAGCTGTTTATTCCGAGGGTTGGTCCTGGGGGCTCAGCTGGGGGCTCAGGTGACCTCAGAGACTTCTTTGGGGTGTGGGCAGGTTTTGAGGTTAAGGCAGGGGAGGGACAAGGAGTAAAGTGCTTGCAGGGGCCCCCAGGGTTGGTCCTGCCACTTCCCACCCCAGCGCGGGCCAGGGCCTGGGCAATCCAGAGCTGTGCAAACGGGTTTCTCCGGGGCCCACCCCAGCAGGCCTGTGCCGGGTGCCTGAGCCGGGCTGAGCTGGCTGGGCACTGTCCCAGTGCCTTGCCAGTGAGGAATGCCCAGAAGACCTGGGCTGGCACCGCAGGGGAGGGCCCTGCGTCCGCGTCCCCCTCGCTGATTGTCCGCTGATTGTCCGCTGATTCAGTCTGGGCCACACTCAGCTCCTCCCAGCGGCCCGTCAGCCCCTCACCTCCGGAGCCGCTGCAACTGAGGGGACAGACCACAAAGGTCAGAGAAGGTGGGCACGGCCACCCCAGCCCCCGCCGCCACCGAGCCTCACCTCACTCTCCACCAGGTTCCGCCTGTACAGCGCCTCCTTTGCAGCTTCCTGTGGGGACAGGTGGTCAGCAGGTGACCTGGTGGCCCTGCCCTACTCCCACCTGGCCCGGCCGGCCCCGCCTCACCCTGCTGCCGTCGTTGCCCAGGCGCCGAGCAGCCTCTGTGTAGAACTGAAGCTGTCGCTCCAGCTGAGCTGTGTACTCTGAGGACAGAGAGAGGACAAGGAGGCCTGAGGCCCCTCTCCTGCTGCATTGTCCCCGCCCTGTCCTCTCTCATGTGCCCTCCGAGCCCCTACCCCGACGGATGGCCATGCCTCCCTGCTCCAGCTGGGCCCTCTGCCACTGGCTGCGCTGCATGATGTCCTGGTATTGCTGGGCCACCTCAGGGGGCACCGGCCGCCGCGCCTGCCTAAGAGCCAGAATCTGGGGGTACACAGGAGGTGATGAGGGCCTGAGCCTGCAGACCCCCTACCTTCAGAGCCTAGCAGGACTGGCACCCACCTTGCGCTCCAGACGCTCTTGGTCAAAGGCCAGCACGCTGAGGCTGTGTAGGGGCCGGGCTGACCTGTGGACCGGGGTGGAGTGAGGGCTAGAGGGGTCTCTCTTGTCAACCCTGTTCACTTGACAGACATGCTGGCCGTGGGGCATCCAGTGAGGAGCCAGCCAGGCTGCCTTGGCCCTCGCTCATCCCACAACCTCGTGGGAAAGAGGGTCGCACACTAGGTTAGAGTCAGGGATATGATGGAAGCTCAGGGCACGTGACAAGTCAGTCATCTCAGAAGCACTGAAGCCCTATGAGCAGCCTGGGGGCATTCCTGGAGGAAGAACTGAATGAAGGATGGGACCCAAAGAATAAGTGAAAAGAGGAAAGACGTCCAGAGGCTGACAAATACAAGGCGTGTTAGGGAACCACAGGGGAAAGCAGGGAGAGGCAATGCCAAATAGATAGAAACTGTTGGTAAGATCACAGAGGGTCTTAAAGGTCAGGCTGAGGAGGTTAATCCGGACCCTCACAGAGAAAAGTCAGGAGAGGTTTTGGGAGAAAGGGACGTGGAAACAATCAGGAGAGAAGGGACGTGGTCCAAGGTGTGCCTGGCGGAAAGCATGCCGTGAGGCAAGAGAGGAGGAGGGACTTCTCTCTGGTGCAGCCACCTACCTGTTTCCTGGTTCCCTCGAAGGGGCAGGCACAGGTGGGGCCTTTCCTTTGGGCATGGTGACCTGCTTCAGAGGAGAGTTTCCTGAGTTCTGGCCCCTCGGGGCCTAGCATCCCTCCATGAGGCGGGCTCGATGGGCAGTGGTCTCACCGAGGGCATAGCTACCGGCACAGGATCGATGACCAGCCACCTCTCAGTCATCGTCTCCAACTGCTGGGCTGTCAGTGGCTCCCGAATCCGGACCATCACCTCCAGCCGCCCCCCGGTGGGCCTTCGGCCATCCAGAACCTAAGTGGGGGACAGGAGTGGTTGGTGGTGGGACCTAAAGGCCCAGAATCATGGAGAACCAGGGAGACTTCCTAATATGAACCTATTTTGGCTGAGACCGGCATGAAGAGATGATCCTCTCATAGGAATGGCCCTGGAGGGTTTCAGGGCTGTAAATCTTTATGGCAAGTGACTGTTGTGTCTTTCTCACAAGGAACAGATGGTGGATTTGAACTGCTGACCTTTTACTTGGCGGTCAAGCATTTTAACCACCATGCCACAACACGTAGGCTGCTAACTCAAGGATCAGGTTGGTAATTAGGATTGACCAGTTCCTTGAGGGAAAGGAGGCAGTCCTTTCCTGTAAGGGACTAGAGCATTGGAAACCCGAGGGAGGGTCACTGGGGGTCTGGACCAAAGGTTTGAAAGCTAAGGGGATAATTAGTCTTGGCGGGGCTGGGGGAGGAGGGTGGTCTGGGGCCACTGGAGGGGAGGCTTTGAGGGACTTGGGTCCCAATGAAACAGCCACACTGGGCTTTCAGAAGAACGTCCACCTCGTACCTCAAGGATCTCCCGGACCTCGCATGCCGTCTCCAGGCTGTCCAGCTTCAGCTGGGCTGTGCCCAGGACCCGGTCATTCTTAAACAGGCCCCTGCAGAGAGGACGGGGGTTGGCCCAGGGCAGCTCTCCTTCCCGACAGCTCACCCAGCACCCAAAGCTCCAGCTTACCCCTTATGGACCACTTCGAACTTGATGCCTTTGGTCTGGATGGCCCTTCTAAAACCACGGTGGCTGCGGTTGATGCACAGTTTGAACTGCTCTTTGAACTCTGGCCAGGGAAGGAGGGAGAGGCCGGAGGAAGTTGGGGACAGGTCAGGCTGTGACTCCAGGTTCTGTTCACGAGGCAGACTGGCCCTGCTGCAGCTTACCTGGAGAATCTGTGTTCTTGACCACGCTGGTCTTGTCTTTCTGGGCTTCTTCCTGTGATCAGATCAGAAGCAGGAGAGCTCAGGCGTCCAGGGACTGACCGTGGGCCCCTGCCTCACACATCCCCCGCCTGCAGGAGTTCTAGCCCTCAGGGGAGCTCAGGCACCCAGGGCCTGACCCTGCACCCCTGCCTTACACATCCCCAGCCTGCAGGAGCTCCAGCCCGCCCCTCCTCAATCCCCACATACCACATTGGGATAGGGGAAGTCGAACCGAACGAAAACATCCAGGTCCCCAGGAGAGAGCCCTGCGGACAAATGAGGTTCAGAGCCAGGCAGAGTCGGGGTCACCACAGCCCTGACCTTGGCCAGCCGCACCCTCACCTGGGGGCGTGGGCAAGTTGATGCCCTTCACGATGAACAGGACCATGTCGTTGCTGCTGAGGTCAGGGAAGATCCTTCCGGACGGGCAGGAAAGGGTACAAAGGTATTTCAGCCCCACTGCCCACCCACCTTCTTTCCCCTCAAGGTGGGGCCCAGAGGACAAGGCCCGGAGGGGTGTCTCGGCTCCTTGGCTCCAGTTTGAGGCCACCACTGGCTAAGTGTTACGTCCTTTCTTGAAGTCTATCCACACTGATCTGCCAAGGAAACTGCTCTTTGCTCAGTGAACAGTCTCCCATGAGTTCCTGCTGTATCTTCACCGCCAGCAGGGTCCTCACAGCGGGGGGATAGGGAAGTCGGTGAGAAGGGCCCGGCTGGGTACTCCCAGAGCCTGATCCCGCCGAGGAGGCGGGAACCACAGGAAAAGAAGGAAGTAACAGACGCTCTGATGGTGCAGTCCACAGGGAGTTGAGCTGCCAACCTAGAGTTCATGCCTCTCTGGTGGTTCGAATCCACCCGCTGCTCTCAGGGAGAAAGATGGGCCATCTCCTCCCCTATGATTTACAGCCTCCAAAAACCCAGTGGAGGGTCAGCTATGAGTCAGTTCCAACTAGATGGCAAAACAACAGATACCGTGGGCGCCTCCGCAGAGAATGAAAATAGGGGCCAGTGGGACATGCTCTAGAGGTGGGGCAGAGGATCTGGGCAGAGACAGCAGGTGCAAAGGCCTTGGGGTGGGAACACACTTGGTATGTGGTTGGAGCCAGGGGTCTTAGGCACAGTCAGAAGATGAGGTGACAGGAGCCAGGCCCAGTGGACGTGGGGAACCAGAGTGGGAGGGTGGGTCATCCCAGGTGGGGTGGACAACCAACCACGTCTAGCCTCAGCACAAAGTGGGACGAGGCTCCAGCTCCTCAAGCGTGGGGAAGATGAAACAAGAGCATGAGGTTTTGTCCCCATGTCAGCTGGGCTCCAGGGCGGGTAATGCCTTGTCAAGAGCCACACTGGCAGCTGACGCTATTAAAGGAGATTTCCGGAGCCTTGATGAAGTGGACGTGTCTCACAAGTTCCAGTGAAGGCTCGAACTGAGGTTTCCCAAGGGAGAGAGCTCTGTCTGAAGACCATCGCTTAAACACCTGGCAGTGCCAGGCTGCCCCCACCCCCAACTCTTGAAGCAGGATTGCCGGTTTCCAGTCTGTGCTCGTAGTCTGTGAATACTGAATTTACCAGCTCCCGCAATATCATGAGCCAGTTAATTAAAAGTATCTCACTATCTGTCTATCCTACTGGTCCCAATTCTCTGGAGAACTCTGATACAAAGAGCCCCATCCACGGCCACAATTAGTCCATGGCTTCCCAGGGCTCCCCAGGAAACCCCATGTGTTCATGGTGACACACTGTCACACTCACTGGATCGATCCTGCTTCCAAACATGACCCTGTCAGGGTCTCGGGCCTGCCTTCACTTCTGCCTCACACCTACCTCAGGGTCTCTGAACGCGGTGGACCCACCGTCCTCCCAAACCCCGCTCCCAGAGGGCATCCAGGCCAGGGTGCATCCGCCTTACTTGATGACGCTGAAGGTCCTCTGCTCGAAGCGCGCAGCAGGAGTGGGGAGACCCCGGGCGAAGGCCTGCTTCAGAGTCTCCATGCTCCGTTTACAGTCCTCCGCCAGCTTCTCAAACCTGCCAGCCAGAGGGCCCTGATCAGAGCTGCTGCGAGGAGCTGGCTCCTTGGCGCTGAGGCTGGCGGGGGTGAAGTCATCGGCAGGGCTGGGGGGACCATGCTGGGAGGCACTCACTTGCTGGTTTCAGCGATGTTGCCCAGGTGGGTGAACTGGTTAGAGTGGTTTAGACACATCTGGGAGGAACAGGAGACAGCGAGGGGAGCCTTGGGGGATTGTGCTCCTGGCGAGTCGAGCTGACTCAAGCTGGGGGTCCCTACTCACCTCGTGCTGCTGCCGTATCAGCTTGGTGAGCTCCCCATAGCGCCGGGCAGCCTCCTGAGACATACCTGGGCCAGGCCGCTGGACCAGGGTGAAGTCGTCTTTGTTGACCGGGGCAGGTGGCACCTGGGGAGACAAGGCTCATGGGACTGACCCAGGGCTCTCTGGAGATGTCACTCCTCCTTGTTCAGGGGGCCCTTTGTGGCCTTGCAGTCTGGGCCTCTTTCACGTGGTCCTTCCCAATCCCCACATGCTAAGACACTCTCCAGTCACCCAAGAAGTCATAAAGGGCACCCTTCCTTTGTGCCAGGTCTTGTCCTGGGGTTAGGGACAGTGTGAAGAGGCAAGCAGCCATGATCTTAAAGGGTCACATTCTCTTTTGGGGAAAAAGGACAATACACAAGAGAAGTTACATGAAATAGTAAAGAACCCCCTAAAACCTAAACCTGTTGCTATGAGTCAATTCCAGTGGATGGCAGTCTATGGCAGAATTGAATGCTACAGGTTTTCTTGGCTGTGATTAATATAGATGCAGATTGCCAGGCCTTTATCCCGTGGTACTACTGAGTATCTACTGAACCATAAACATTCAGGTTAGAAGTTATAAGCAAACTATACCACCGGGGACTTCGTTAGAGAACAATATATGCTACACAGAAATAGGGGATGGAGCTGAGGGTTCCTGGGTAAAGGGAGGGACTTTTTAAAGAGAGTATCACGAGAAGGCTCTCACAAATGAGTTGGTAACATCTGAAGAGAGATACAAAGAGGGAGGGAAGGAAGTCAAAGAGTGAGAGGAATGGCATTTCAGGCAGAGGGAAGAACAGGAGCAAAGGTTATGAAGTTGGGGCGTGTCTGGTGTTTTGAAGACAGTAAGGAGGCCAGACATCTGGCAGGGAGGAACTGAGGGGGTGAGAGGAGGAGGGGAGGGCAGGGAGGTGACGGCACAGATTACAGAGAGCCTTGTGGGTCACCGTGAGGAGCTGTACTTAATTGTGTTTCATGCTCCACAAGAATTGAAGTACTTATCTGCTCTGTTCCCGGCTGCATCATCGGTGCCAGCACAGGCCCCACACTCAATCAGTGCTCCTTAAATACATTCTGTCACGGGTGCTCTTGCTTTGCACCAGCTCACTGAACTCCCAGTGCCACTTTCCCAAGGAGGAAAGTGACACTTAGTGGGAATGAATGTCCTACCCAATGCTCAGAGAGCCTTGCTGGTGTAACGGTACAGAGTTGTGTTGCTGATGAAAAAGTGTGTGGTTCGAATCCACCAGCTGCTCTGTGGGAGAAGGATGTGTAATCACCTCTTGTGTGATTTACTGCATCCGAAAACCCACTGGAGGGTCAGTTATTGGTCAATTCCAACTCGACAGCACACAACAACTGCTCAATGCTCTGGTGGGAGTCTGGTATGAAGCTTTTGTGGCCTACTGGTAAGGAGTTTCACTGCCAACACAAAGGCATGAGATTAGAATCCACTGTGGAATTGTAACAACCACCTAATGCAGCAGAATCTGTTATCTTCCCCCAAATCTGATCTCACCCCTTCCTTTGTACTGGACTTTGGGTGGAAACTCAGTAATCCAAAAACAGACTAAATGTCCGAGCCTCCTTTGCAGGTGGATGTCCCATGTGACTCAGTTCTGACCGATGGGAGGAAAGCAGAGGTGACAGAAATTCTATGTTGTTGTTGTGTACCGTAGAGTTAGAACCAAGCCATAGCTGACCCTCCAGTGGGTTTTCAGAGCGTTAACTGCACAGGAGGAGACTGCTCACTCTTCTCCCGTGGAGCAGCTGGTGGCCTCAAACTGTGAGCCTTTGGGATTTACAGTGCAGTTTCTTTCCACTAGGCCACCAGATCTCATAATGCCATGTTACTTCCTAAAAAAAGAATCTGTTTAGGACAAAAACTGCATAACACCCCCTTTTATAGCAGAGCTGACATGGGGGGTTGGGAGGAGAAGAGGACAGGGAAAAAAGGGGATCGAAAATGAACACTTTACTGGAACAAATGAGGGAAAGAAATATTAAAAAGGAATATATGATTGGGCAATATATGTATGACAACAGTCCAGAATAAGAGGTGCACTGCAAAGTGGACTTGGAGAGGGGGAGAAGAGGGAGCGAGGGAATCGTGTAACAATGAATGAATGAAGATATGACTTTTCTGTAAATATTTGTTAAAATCACAATAAAATGGTGTATAAAAAAAAAGAATCTGTTTGCCCTCCCTTTTCTCTGACACACCTTCCCAGAGGCTAGCTGCAGAGAGGACAGCAATCCGCTCCAACCTCATCAACAATACAATATCTTGCCTAGGAAGAAGCAGAGCAACAAGATGGAAGGAGCCTGGGTCTCACCGTGTCAAGTCCAGACTGCTCTGAGTGTTACATAAAAGAAGCACCAATTTTCTATTGGGTTTCGCTCGTTTTCTTTAGCAGCCTATTTGTTACAGCAGCTTAGTATAAACGCTGACTCGTACATCCCAGGTGACATGGGTGTTCAGTGGGTGCTTTAGTCAGTTCAATGAGCCCAGGTACCTCACCTTCGCGATGTCCACAGGTAGCCCATTGCGTGAGGCCTCCAGCATGGGTTCCAGCCCCTTTGCCTGGCGCAGGTGCATCTTGGCACCCTCCACATCGTTCTTCTGCTTGGCTCGTAACGCAGCCTGTAGGAGCTGCTTCTTGCGGTTCTCCAGGAAGGCCAGCTGCTGCTGAGCTGCAGGTAAAGGGGCCGCTGCAAATAGTGCTGCTGCAGGGCTGGGTAACAGGGCAGCCAGAGCAGGGAGACCACATCTACCTCTGGTGGATGTGCCTTTGGGGGCTACTTTGGCTGCTGGGGTGGATCCTGACGCAGGTGCCCTTGAGGATGGAGCCTTTGACTGGGCCGTGGGAGCTGCAGGGCTGGTGGACTGCAGATAGACAGAGAGGAAATCAGAATTTTCCCAGTACCTACCATTGGCCAGGACCCAATGCCACCAACAACCACAACTAGAAGGGACTATTATCATCCAACTTAACAGATGAGGAGACTCAGGCTCAGAGGCTTAAGCCACAAAGAGCTGGTTGTAACCTGACACTCTGGGTTCAAGGTCTGGACTCTATGGATTTACTCTGGTTACCCCTCCCCATTCTAACTTGAAGCCTGTGCCCCTCGCACCTTCTTAGGTTCTTCATCCTCTTCATCTTCGGGGCCTTCATCCTGACTGGCTAACTTCATGGCGGTCTCCAGAACACCTACCAGGCTCTGCTGGGTGGGCTCGGTGGCTTCCAGACCCTGGATGGGCGGAAAGCCTAGGCGGCCGGGCAAGACTTGGTCAAGAGGAGAGCACTCACGTTGAGACAGCAAGACGCAGGTCTCTATTCACCCCCCTCAAGGAACCTGACACTATTCCCATCCGCACTCATGGCTCTTGGCATCCCTCTCCTGATGCCAGGCCTGGATCAGACTTTAATGGGTATTTCCTAAAGCTTCCCTTGTGCCAGGTGCTGGGGAGCATGGCCTGGAGGCATGGCTCAGAGATTAACTGCTCTCATGGGGGGTGCATAAGTAGTTTTGAGAATTCAGAGCAGTACCTGACCTTAACTGAGAAGGGTCAGCTAAGCTGAACTCTCACAGCTGAGGAGGAGAGACCTGGGCAAGAGGAAAGGGAGGCACACACAGGGGACTGGGGGACTGGCTTTCCAGTTACTTCGATTTTATTTTTTTATAGTCATTGTGTACTGTTGAGTTGGACCTAACTTATAACTGATCCCCCAGAGACAGTAAGAAGCTGCAGAGAAGCAGACTGTCCATCTTTCTCTTGAGGAGCAGCTGGTGGATTTGAACTGTGTGCCTTTGGGATTCCAGTGCAGCTTCTTACCACCAAGACACCAGAGTGCCCTAATTTTTAGTTAGTGCTTGCCAATTTCCATTGTGTAAATATTCCTTCCCTGACTTATTCGTGCTGCCAATAGTTTAATCAGATTGCAAAATCCCTATGTAGCAATCAGTTCCCCAAACGCTCACAGCAGGAACCTGTAAAGCTTCTAAGGCTGAGAGGGAGGAGCTTGGCAGGGCCTACCTGGGGGCACGGGCAGCTCTGCCACATCCACGGCTCCACCAGCCTTGTGGGCTCGGATAGCATCTTGGTATTGCTGTAGGGAGAAAGGGGTCAGGCTGCCCAGATCGTGTCTAGGGACCGCCTCCTCGCCCTGTAGCCCCGCCTCCACGCACCTTGACGATGCGCTCATGCATGCGAGCCTTCCGTTGGTCCCCCTTAGCTTTGGCCTGGGCTGCGGCCACGTGGTACCGCTCCATCCGCTGCTCCAGTGCCTCTAGGAGGGTCCGTGGGGGTGGGGGCACATCTGGGCAGGACCAGGAGGCAGAGTTAAGGGCTCAGGGAAAGAGAAACACTGTTGTTCCAGCCTGCCCTCCCTGGAGGTCCAAGGAGTCTACCTGGTGTGGAGGGTGCTGTGGTTGGAGCTGGAAGCGGTGAAGGTGCTGATGACGCATCTGCGGGCAGCTGGTCTGGGGGCACAGAGGGTCAATCAGGGGCTTGAATGCAGCCCCTTCCAGGCTAGTCTGACCCAAGGGATTCCCCAGGCCTGACCAATGGGGGCCGCAGCATCAGGAAGAACTTCATGATGGCCTTGAGCAGACCTGGGAGGAGGGCTGGGAGGGGTCCTCACCAGGTGGAGGGGGCAGGCGGGACAGGTCCACGGGCTCCCCCCGGCTCAGGGCCTCCAAGACAGCATCAAAGCTCTGGAGAGGGACACAGAAGGTAAGGGAGAAGACTGCAGTTGGGGAGCCCCCACCCCTGCCACAATGCAGAGGATTCCTAGTTATTATCTCTCCCCTGCGCCATCCTGCTAAATCCTCTAAGACTCATGGCCATTTCATAGAGTAGGTAAACTGAGCCTCTATGAGGTACAGCAAATTGCAGCTGGAAAAGTGACAAAGCCAGGACTCAAACTTGAGTCTAACTCCAGATCTCACGTTCTCTATATCCATGTAACGCTGGGCCCGTCCTGCTCTCTCCCTCAACCGTCCGTCAGCCTGGACACACCTTGGCCACTCGGAAGTGTCGGGCGGCAGTGGCGGTGTCTCCCTGCTGCTTGGCCTGGAGAGCAGCCAGCTTGTACTCACGCTGCCGGCTCTGCAACTGGGCCAGGAGACCAGGGCTGCAGGGACCTGGAAGGGGACAGAGCCAAATCATGTCTACTTCATTCTACCAGTAAGACTGATCACCGGCCCATTTTACAGATGACAGAGCTGAGGCTCAAAGAGGGAACACTATTTCCCCAAGGTCACATAGCCTGAAAATGACAAAGCTGGGATTCAACATCTGCAAGTCACAGATTCTAGAGCCTCAAGAGAATTCTGGAAAACTTTATGCCTTCTTTCTGCATGCTTGTGTTGACATCTAAAATTTTCCCTTCTAAATATCAAACTCGCGAAGGTTGTCACTCCTGTTGAGAGGTGCTGTCAAGTAGAATATGACTCCCAGCAACCCTACGAACAGCCCTGAACCCTGCCCTATACTGTGCCAGCCTCATCACCTCTCTCGAGACAGACGGCCCATTTTTAGTCACCTTGTCAGTCACCTTGTCCAGGGTCTTCCCTTCTTTCACTGACCCTCCACCTTTCCAAGTATGATGTCCTTTTCTAAGAACTGGCCCCTCCTAATACCATGTCCAAAGTACATAAGATGAAGCTTTGCCTGGCGAGCTCTGGTGGCCTAGTGGCAAGAAGCTGCACTGCAATCCCAGAGGTGCGCGGTTCAAATCCACCAGATGCTCTTCTGGAAAAGGAGGAACAACCTCCTCCTGTACCAGTCAGATCTGATTTGATGGTACACACACACAAAAAAAAGGATAAAATAAAATAAAATATGAAGCTTCGCCATCCCTGCCTCCAAGGAACACTGTAGCTACCTTTTCCCTAAGACATATCTCTTTGTTCTCTTGGTAGTCTATGGGATATTCACACTCTTCTTCAACACCACAATTCAAAGGTATTGATTCTTCTTCTGTCATCCTTACTCACTGTCCAGCTCTCAGATGCAAAGCAAGTGACTGAAGAGACCATGTCTTGGATCAGGCACACCTTACTCTTTAAAGTGACTTTTTAACCTGACTTTCCTTAGTACTTTGGAAAGGTCTTTGTCAGCAAACTTTCTCAGTGCAATATATCTTTTGATTTCTTGATTGTTGATATCAAAAGTGTTGACTGTGGATCCAAGTAAGACAAAATTGTTGACAACTTCAATCTTTTCTCCATCTCTCATAACGTTGTCTATCAGTCCAGTGGTAAGGATTTGTGTCCTTCCTAGCATATCGTAAATATCAACATTTGGTGCTATCAGGTGGATCCTAGCAGAAAGCAAATACCAGACGAATGTCTACTTGTGCTTTATTGATTATGCAAAGGCCTTTAGTTGTGTGGATCATAACAAGTTATGGTTAACATTGAGAAGAATGAGAACCCCAGAACATTTAATTGTGCTCATGTGAAGCCTATACTTAGACCAAGAGGCCAGTGTGCAAACAGAGCGAAGGAACACTGTGGTTGTTGTTGTTAGGTGCCATCGAGTCAAGTATAACTCATAGTGACCCTATGAACAACAGATCTGAACCCTGTCCTATCCTGTGACATCTTCACACTTCCAAACACACAAGGGCCCATTGTTGTGGTCACCGTGTCAATCCACCTGGTCAAGGGTCTTCCTCTCCTTCACTGACCCTCCATCCTTCCAAGCATCTGTCCCTCTCCAAGGAACAGCCCCTCCTAGCAACATGCGTGAAGGAGGTGAGGCACAGCCTCATCATCTTTCCCTCCAAAGAGCACTCCGGCTGCACCCTCTCCAAGACACTACAGGATTTAAAATTTGGAAAGGTGTGCATCACGGTTGTATCCTTTCTCCATACCTATTTAATCTGTTTGCTGAGCAAATTATTTGAGAAGCTGAACCCTATGAAGAAGAATGTGACACAAGGATCGAAGGAAGACACATCAATCACCTTCATTACCTGATGACACAGCCTTGCTGAAATTGAGGAGGAAGGTTAAACGCTGCAACAGTCAATATGGATTACATCTCAAAGTCAAGAAAACAAAAATCCTTACCATAAGCACACCCATGTTTATCGCGGCTTTGTTCACAATAGCAAGGAGTTGGAAACTACCGAAGTGCCCATCAACAAACAAATGGATAAAGAAGCTGTGGTATAGTCACACAATGGAATACTATGCTGCATTGAAAAACAAGGAACTCATGCAGTATTATTCAAAATGGGTGACCGTGGAGGACATTATGCTGAGTGAAGTATCTCAGTCACAAAAGGACAAATACTGCGTGGTGCCACTGTTGTAAAACAGGACTGACCTCGGGATTGGGGGGGAGACTGAGAAAGATGGGATAAATGATGTATACTACATCGAAACAGATGAGGGAGAAAACTGTTTAAAAGGGATATGTGATTAGGTATTATTGTCATGACAGGAGTCCAGAGCAAAGGCTGCATAATGGAGTGGACCTAGATAGAGGGAGGGATTGCAAAACAATGAATTTTTCCTTTACTTGTCAAAAAGAAGAGTGTATGGGGGGGGAGGGGCGGGCAGGGAGAAAAGTACAACAATGAATGAATGGAAATCCAAAGTCTCTGTAAATTTTCATTAAAATTAATAATAAAAATTTTTTTAAAAATCCTTACCAATAGACCAATAGGCAAAATCATGACAGACGGAGTAAAGACTGAAACTCTCAACAACTTCATCTTACTTGGATCCACAATCAACATCCTTGGTACCATCAGTCAGGAGATAAAATATCCAGGGAATGTCTGTAGTTAGAGCACCTCTCAAATTACTGAAGAGCAATGATATCAGTTTGAGGACTCAGATGCACCTAATTTAGTCCTCAGTCTTTTCTGTCACTTGCTATGCATCTGAGGGCTGGATAATGAATAAGGATGACAGAAGAATTGATGCCTTTCAACTACGGTTTTGGAGGACAGCACTGACTATCTCGTGGACTACCCAAACAATAGGTAAGTCTCAGGGAAGGTGCAGAGGACACATTGAAGGCACGAATGGCAAAGCTTCATCTCACATACTTCGGGGTATGTTGCTAGGAGAGGTTATTCCTTGAGAAGACAGGAAATGATTTGGAAAGGTGGAGGAATAGCGAAGGAGAGGAAGATGGACTGAAAGTGACTGCAGCCATTGTGAGGATGGCTCAGGACAGGGCAGGGTTCAGATCCGTAATTCACGGGGTCATTATGGGTCGTACTCAACTTGGGAGGCCCTAACAACATCACTCAACATCACTCTCTTCAAACTACCATGGGGATTGAAATTCACCAACACTCATTTTCAAATATATCCACAAGTTCATTGTTAGCAGTCAAGAATGTCACCTGTCTTGTCTTCTTGAGCTCTTCTTTACACCCACATCCCCTACTCAATCTTTTCCTAACATATTTACACACTTGAAGGTCTTTTTTCACCGTCCTACTATGCAACAGTGGGCATGGGCCCACGGAAGAGTGTGAGGATGGTTGGTGCAGGATCGAGTCAGGTTTTAATGTGTTGTACCCGGGGTCTCGATGAGCTGGTGTCCACTCAACAACACCCATCAACCACCACCATGCACATATGAAACCAGAACACGTTCCTGCATCGCATCTGCGCGTCTGCAGAGGTAGGGAACACAGGGTTCTGTGTTTCTTGGAGTGTGCTGATTACACCTATAAACAGGAGGCTCACTGGGGTTTTGACAGGAACATCTCTGCAGTTAAAAGTAACAGGTACATTTTAACAATTAAAAAAAAAAGTGCTGCAAATACAACCCCCTTCCTGAGTCCACAAAATTTTGAACTACCTAGAAAACAGCATCCGCACTGCACTTTTCTGAGCGACAACTACACCTATGGCTTTAAACTCAGACTTAAATGGATTTTCCTGAAAAAGTTGTCTGGAGGCTGGAGGAAAACACCTTGACATTCAATTGGATGTATTTCTGTGACTACAAACTTCTTACTATTAAAGAAAAACAATTTTTTAGGCTAAATTAGCTTCAAAATTGTTATTAGCATGTAAATGAGCAAAACTTATCAGACTTTTTTCTATTTTTTAAGCACCCTGATTTTACTAGAAAGGTAACCCCTGCTGACCAGCTCAGAGCTGTGCCCTTTGCTCACCAATTCACTCAGGTCCTCTCCCACTTTATCTGTCTGATATGTAAAACCTGAGAAGGCCAGTTCACACCAACGAGCAGGTGGGAATACACATGCATGTCATCATGGGACTCTGAACTTTTGTCAAGCTCTCAACTCAAAACCCCAAGGTAGAACAATCTCGCTGATTGTAGCTGTGGATTTCAGGTGACTGTACCAACAATCCTCCCTGACCTCTGCCAAAAACAACAGCTTAGAAAAGAAGTTGCAGAAGGATTTTGTGTTCCCTGCCTCAGACCCAGGATAAAGTTTGAGGTGTCTCTCTCTCTCTGTGTTTCCTGTCAGGTACAGTAGCGATTATTGGCCTTTTTTTCAAGGGAGAGCATAAATGTAGTCCCCTATCACCACCACCACCACAATGACGCAGTCAGGTTTTCCACATTTGGTGAAATCAGAAGCATCAGCATATCCAGAGCACAAAGAGTAAGTCTCAGGGGAGCTCTGGTGGCCTAGTGGTAAGGAGTTGCAACTACAATCCCAGAGGCGCACGGTTCAAATCCACCAGATGTTCTGCCGGGAAAGGAGGGACAATCTCCTCCTGTACCAGTCAGATCTGATTGGACGGTACACTCACACAAAAATAATAATAAAAAAAAAATTTTTTAAAAAAAAGAGTAAGTCTCACCCTGAGAAAACCACCTGCATGATCTCTTCTGCCAGGTTAGTATCAGGTACGTTTTTGTAGCTGGGCAGAGCCCATTCTCAGGTTCTAGCAGGGAGGGTGTAGGCTTTCATATAGGGAGAAAGATGACCAGAAAAGGGAAAGCCAGGAAGGAAAACCCTCATGAGAGGTGTCTTCTCCAGCAGGTGAGACTGAGGAGAGAAGCGGAGGCCCACGAATTGCTCCCTTAAAATTCTGTGTGTTCTGTATCCTAGTAAGGCAAAAAGTGTCTGTGGTCTTAAAAGTTTTCATAGCCATTAAATTATACTATTGGTCTCTACTCTTCGGGGCAAAAGAAAAAGAAAGCAGCAAAGTTTCAGAGAAGAAACAAGTCTACAGGGTTGTTAGCCTCCAAAAGCCATAAGCTCAGCTGCCCTGAGATCAGAAGAGATAGATGGTGCCCAGCTACCCTACCAATCATTCAGATCAGGACCACCGCAGACGGAACCTGAAAGTGCAGAGAGGAATGTGGAACTAAGCTCAAATTCTAAAAATTCAGAATTAGTGGACCAGTTGAGACTAGAGTATCCCTATACTCTTTAAATCTTGAATTTTAAACTATCCCAAAGTCACCTTTTAGTGAAGTAACAGATTGGTACACAAAAATAATAAAGGCTATGAACCTGTGAGTTGAGTGCTCCATTAAAAAACTCCTCTATGAGATCAAAGGCTCGACAATTACTCTAAAGCAAAGATGAGCAGAGAGGTTAGAACACTGGAAATGGAACAACCAGAATGCAATGAAAGGAAAAGATGACACATTATAAAAAATCACACTAGTGTCACGGATTAACTTGTGCAGAGTTAGACAAATAATAATCTAATGTGCCGGGTAAACTCCCACCAAAAACAAGAAAATATTACTAAAAAATCCAAAACTCTACATAGTATATACCCCTTGGAGAAGCATCGGGAACTTCAGGGGCACGAGGACCTAAGGAATGTTTCAAACATTTAATAGCCAGCTCATGGCCCCACTGAAGGGCTGGCCAGCTGAATTCCCAGCCCAACCCCACTGCCATCCTGACCTTGCCCATGGCCTACCTGGGGGCAGCTGGGGCTTAGCGGAGCCCAGGGACAAGGCTGGAGCAGTGGGAGGAGGAGCCTGAAGGGTCACCCTGGGCTCTGGGGTTGGTGGACTTGTAGGGGCCGGCTGAGTGGGTGAAGGAGTATGGCTGGGCGTGGCTGCCTGGCTTCTGCCCACAGCCACAGGCGGAGGGATGTCCCCTTCATCGATGGTGTTGCCCTTCCGGACAGAGGCCAGCAGGTTTTCAAGCGTCTGGAGGAGGCATGATTGTGGATGTTGGATAATAGAGCGGGGTGCAAGTCTAGGAGTGGGGGATCCCTGCACGTGGTCTTCTGCCAACTCACCTTAAGGCCCCGGTCATAGCGGCGCACCTTGGCACTATCTCCAGCTTGACGAGCACTTTCAATGGCGGTCTGGTAGAGGGCCAGCCTCTCCTGCAAGGTGGCCTCCACTCCTGGGCTAGGAGCTGAGGGCTTTGGCTACAAGAAGATATGGGCATGGCCTGGTGTGACCCCAAGAGGGCCACCTCACCAGAGTCCCATGTGCCAAATCATTTGTATTGTGGGATATCCCCCCAAACCTGAAGGGCTTGCAATCATGGTCCCTGTTTCCTGGTAGAGGGAACTGAGGCTCAGCGGTCACACGGCTGGAGGGGCAAGGAGCCCCTGGTTGCCCACAGCTCTGGCTCTAGGGGCAGGGTAGTGGACACACCTGGGCCAAAGGAGGCTGAGAGTCCACAGCCTTCTGCTCCTCTCCAAGGACTTCGTTCAGTTCCGCCTGGAGGGACACAGCATGATGGGGTCATGAGGGGTTGCTGGACAGCACACATGAAGGGGAAGTCTCACCCCACCCCACCCAGACACTCACCAACAGGTCGTCATCAGCCTCCACATCATCCTCGTCAGTCCCCTCCTCCTCCTCATCCTCGTCCAGGTCCCTCATGCACAGGCTGGCCATTTTCTCAATGGCCTCCATGGGCAGGGGCCCTGGCAACAAAGAAGGCCTCAGCTGGGTCAGATCCTTCCAGAGCCCTCAGCCTCGCATCCTGCTACCAGCCACCCCACAGGACAGGGCAGCAGAAAGTCTAGACATGACCCCTTTCCTGCCCTTCCAAGGTACCCCACTCTCCTCAGGCCTCCCTGGGTTACTCCAACCCCACTGACCTTGGCACCCTCTCCTCCTTCTTTACAAAGCCTCAGTGCTGAGGTCAGGCTACCTGACTTGAACCCTGGTTCTGTGGTTTTCTAGCTGTAGGACCTTGGGTAAATTACCTCTTATCTGGGCCTCTGCCTCCCCATCTGTTAAATGGGTTAACCACAGTCCTTCCCTCATGAAGAGGTCAAGGAACCTAAAGTACATAAAGCTTTAAGTCCAAGGTTATGTTTAACAGTGGAATTAAACACTTTAGGGCAGAGCTGACATGTTTAAAGGCTCCATATGTCCTCTGGGCTCCAGCTTCTTAGACCCACAATGTTCCCCAACCCCAGCTGTGACCCCACCCCACACCCAAGCCTCTGAACCTGCTCTAAACCATTCCTGGAAGAGGTCCTGACTCTTCACCTGCCCTCCCATCCTGAGCGCCTCCCTGACTCACAGCTCTCCTTCGGGGTTCTCCCACCTCAGCCTGAGCATCAGACCGCAGCTCAGAGGTTCCAGCTGATGACAGATAACATTAGCTTACAGCTCCCAGACCTTGTAGAAAGTACGTTACAAAACACTAGGAGGTGGACCCCTTTGATGTCAGTGCACTTATTATTCCCATTTTACAGTCAAGGAAATCAAGGCCTCCAAAAGTGTTGTGACTCACTAAGTCACAAGACCAGGAAGTGGTGGAGCTGAGATTCAAACCCTCATTTTAGTCCCAAGTGAACTACCTCACCTCCTACCCACAATGTGGGCTCCAGGGAAGCAAGGGCCTTCTCTGCCTTCCTTCCCATCTCATCAGCACCCAGTTCTGAGACATGAGAGCTCAGAAAATGTCTGAGGGTGGGAGACTAAGCGAACACCTCACCTTTGCCTTTGAGCTTCTCCAGGGCTGGGGCCTGGCCCCCTACTAAGGCCAAGAACTCAGCCTCTAGTTCTTCATCGTTAACTCCATCTTCAGGGATCATCAGACCATCTGGGGAAAGGTCAACCAGTAAGCCCAGCTGTGGAAATAGAGAGAGGCCTGTCAGACCTTGGAATGGAGCTCACCTGGCCAGAGGCAGCCATCATGGGTCCACAGTCCCCTGGACAGGAAGGGAAACCAGGCCTCCTGGGGAAAGCCGTTTTCAGGGAGTGCCAGGAGGCTGGGATGGGCCCAGGAGAGAGCAGGTGTCCCGCTACGGGCCAGGCCCTCTGATGCAAATCGAATCGGGGCAAAGGGCAGATGGAGAGCCCAGCTCCTTGCCTGAGCCCATTCCTGGGGTATGCTGGCAGCACGTACCGTGGGAGCAGCAGTTGCACACTCTGGCCACAGCAAAGCCATTCTGTACACCAAGGGGCTTTTCTTCCAACACCCTCAGCAGAGGGGAGCAGACCAGGAGGTCTGTGCCATCAAGAACAATCAGATGGCCTAACAACAATGTAGAAGTTAAAGCAAGGACTCACTTTGTGTAACAAGTCTGTCTTGCACATCCTGGTTAATGACCTACAAACCCCAAACCAAACCCTTTGCTGTTGCGTTGATTCTGACTAGTAGGAGTGGCATCCACTTCCTAAACAACGTGCCTCTGGAAACTACGAACTTTGATAAATGGCGACAGTTGCAGAGGTGCTTCATAGGGTCACTAAGAGCTGTGCTCAACTCGAAGGCAATCAACAAGAAGTGACTTCATAGGGTTCCCAAGACTGTAAATCTTTACAAAAGCAGACACTGCTTCATGTTTGTCCTGTGCAATGGCTGATGGATTTGAACTGCTGACTTTTTGGTTAGCAGCCGACCACTTTAACCAAGGCTCTAAAATAACCTGAGGATGACATGCATAAGAGGTTGACATACATAAAACTGTCCTTTAGATTTTATAATAGCTATTGGGTTGTTTGCATATGAAAGTGTATCTTTGAACAATGCCTGACATCAGTTGTCCTTTAGTGTTTAGATCTGTCGGTGAGGGATCCAAATGACAACAGCAACTGGAAAGACTAGAGAGCTAGTAAATATAGCTGCCTTTGAAGGTAACAATGAGGCCGTGGTGGTTCAGTGGCAGAATTCCAGGTAGGAGACCAGGTTCGAGTCTCAGCCGATGTGCCTCATGTAAAGCCAATACAATTATATTAGTGGAGGCTTGTATGTTACTGTCTTCCATTGGTGCTCTGGTGACATAGGCTGTAGCGTGTAGTGTGTTGTTGTTGTTGTTATGTGCTGTTGAGTCGTTTGCGACTCATAGCGACCCTATGTACAACAGCCCTAAACCCTGCTCTATCCTGTGCCAATCGCACTGCCTCTGACACACCCATCCCGATTACCCCAGTCACTGAATCAATCCATCTCATAGAGGGTCTTCCCCTCTTGCGCTGTCCCTCCACCCTCCCAAGCATGATGTCCCTCTCCAAGGACCTGTCCCTCCTTACAACATGCCCAAAGTATGTCAGACAAAGCTCCAGAATCCTTGCCTCCAAGGAGTAGCTTGGTTTAACCCTCTCCAGGATGAATCTGTTTCTTTTCTTGGCAGTCCATGGAACATTCAATACTCTTCTCCAGCACAGCTCAAAGGCATTAATTCTCCTTCTGTCCTCCCTAGTCATTGTCCAACTCTCTGATGCATAACAAGTGATTGCAAAGACCATGGCCTGTATCAGGCGCACCTTAGTCTCCAGAGAGACACCATTCCTCTTGAGTACTTTAGAGAGGTCCCTAGCAGCAGACTTTCCCATCACAGTACGTTTTTTTATTTCCTGGCTGCTGGTGCCAAGAGTGTTGACCATGGAGCTGAGCAAACTGAAGCTGTGAACAATCTCAATCTCTTCGCCATCCATCCTGATCCATCCCGATTGGTCCAATGGTGAGAATTTTTGTCTTCTTGACATTTAGCCTCAATCTATACTGAAGTCTGCAATCCTTGACCCTCTGCAGCAAGCGCTTCAGGTCCTCCTCAATTTCAGCAAGAAGATTGTTAACAGATCTTCCACCAATCCTGATACCACAATTCTCCTCATAGAGCCCAGCCTCCCGGATAATCTGAGTAGTGTAGCTAACCCAAAAGGTATGTGTCGCCAGTGGATCGAATCCACCCCCAGTGACTAACCCCGGAGAACGATGGGCAGTCTCTTTTTCCCATTATGATTTTACATGAGAGACACAATGGAAGGTCACTGTAAGTTGGGACTGACTCCACAGCAGTGAATTTTTGCATTTTTATATTACCATGAAGCTAAACAGGTTTCAGCAGAACTTTCCGGCTCGGAGGAAGAGCATGACTTCCAAAAATGAGCCAAAAGAAAGTCTACTGATCATGTGGGCAGAGCAAGAGCCGCAGCATTTGTCTTAAGTGAGCTGCTACAACAAGCAGGGAACAACAGCAGAAAGAAGGACAACAGTGTTCCCTGAGAGTGACATTTACCACTGATCACAAATTATTTCGATAAGCCTGCAATGGAACACCTCATAAAAACTCCATTTCACATAAGAGAAAACTGAGGCACACAGCTGTAAAGTCACATGCAGAGTGCAGAGGCTAGGAGTTGCTGTTGTTGTTATGTGCCATCCAATCGCTTGCGACTCATAGCGATCCTATGTACAAGAGTTCTAAACGCTCTTCTATCCGGTGCCATCCTAGCCATCTCAAATACACTTATTCCCACCGCTCTAGGCACAGACAGAATCGATTCATTTCATCGAAGGTCTTCCTCTCCTTTGCCGCCCCTCCACTCTGCCAAACATGATGTCCCTCTCCAAGGACCAGTCCCTCCTTGCAACATGCCCAAAGTATGTCAGATTGAAGCTTCAGAATCCTTGACTCCAAAGAGCCTTCCGGCTTCACCCTCTCCAGGACAAACGTGTTTGTTCTCCTAGCAGTATATTCAACACTCTTCTCAAGCAGCACAGCTCAAAGGCATCAATTTTCTTTCTATCAACCCTATTCACTGTCCAACTCTCCGATGTATAGCACATAACTGCGAAGGCTATAGCCCGGATCAGGCGCACCTTAGTCTCCAGTCTGACGTCATTGCTCTTCAGTACTCTTGAGAGGTCCCTCACGGCTGACTTTCCCAATGCAATTCGTCTCTTGATCTCCTGTGTTGATTGTGGAGTCAAGCAAACTAAAACTGTTAACTATCTCAATCTCCTCACTCTCTATACTGATGCTGCCAATTGGCCCAGTGATGAGAATCTTTGTTTTCTTGATGTTGAGCTTCAATCCATATTGAAGACTGCAGTACTTGATCTTCTGCAGCAAGCACTTCAGGTCCTCCTCAGTTTCAGCAAGCAGGGTTGTGTCATCTGCATAACGCAGGTTGTTGATGAGTCTTCCATCAATCCTGATGCCACATTCCTCCTCGTACAGCCCAGCATCTCAGATGATCTCTTCTGCATACAGATTGAAAAGGTATGGAGACAGAATACATCCCCAACGAACCCCCTTTTTTATTTTGAACCATGCAGTGTCTCCTTGCTCTGTTCTGACGACTGCCTCTTGGTCCAAGTATAAGTTTCACATTAGCACAATCAAATGTTCTGGGATTCCCATTCTTTGAAAACCCTATGTACAGTAGAGCACACTTAGACTATCACTTGGACTAGCAGACATGGCAATTGAGACTGAGACCTTAGAAATGGAAATACAGAGAAGAAGGAACAGCTGTAAGCAGACACTAGTGATTGGAACATGGAATGTGAGAAACATGAATGTAGGAAAACTGGACATTGTTACGAAAGAAATGGAATGCATAAATATTGACATACAAGGTATAGGCAAAATGAGATGGCTTGTCACGGGACATTTTGAATCAGACGATTATATGATTTACTATGCAGGGGATGAAAAAGTGAGGCTAGGAGAGAAATGTAGGATTATTTGCCTCTAGCCTCTGGGTATTAACCATGCCCTGAGCCCTTTCATCAACTCACTCATTCACTCATTTCCATCAACTTGGAACCAAATCATAGCGGACCCTCTAACAGGTTTTCAGAGGACAGCTTTCAGTATATTATACCTCAATATCAAGAAAACAAAAATTTTCACCACTGGACCAGTAGGCAACAGCATGATGGATGAAGAAAAGACTGAGGTTGTCAACAATTTAATTTTATTTGGATCAACAATCAACATAGAATATTGACATCCTAGAATGTTAAGAATTTAAAATTGACAGCAGTCAAGAATTCAGAAGTGTTGCACTGGGAAAAACCTGCTGTCAAGGAGCTCTCCAAACGTCTAAAGAGCAATGATGTCAGTTTAAAGACTAAGGTGCACCTGATGCAAGTAATTTTCCATCACCTCCTATGTATTTGAAAATGGAACAGTGAATAAGGATGACAGAAGAAGAATCAATGCCTTTCAGTTGTGCTGGAGAAGAATACTGAATATTCCATGGGCTGTCAAAAGAACAAACATCTGTCTTGGAAGAAGAGCAATCTTGCACCTCTTAGAGGCAAGGACGATGAAACTTTGTCTCATATACTTTAGGCATGTTGTCAGGAAAGACCAATCCTTGGAAAAAGATCCCATGCTGGGAAAAGGTCAGAGAGAAAGAGGAAGATTCTCAACAAGATGGGTTGACATATCTTATCAGAGATGCTGAAGATGGTGTGGAGTAGGGCAAGGTTCAGATCTGCTGTACACAGGGTCTCTGAGTCGTAGTTGACACCTATCAACAACAACAAACTGAACTGGAAGAAGTTGCTCATCTTTCTCCCACGGTACAGCTAGTAGATTTGAACCATTTGCCTGTGGGTTGGCAACACAACTCCTTACCCACTAGGCCATCTGGGCTCGTTCAAAGCTTAGAAAATCAAACTGTGAGGTGCCTGGGACAAGAAGATGAGCAGAGAAGACCAGGGCCAACCTAACCTGCCAGTCCTGTTCTGGAGCAGGAAAAAAAGATGTGTAATCTCCTCCCGCTGGATTTACAGCCTCTGAAAACCCGCTGCAGGGTCAGCTATGAGTGGGTTCTCCCTTGACGGCATTAAGTGAGTGACTGGCCAGGCTCTTGATCCCTATGACCTTGAGCAAGTCTCAGATACCTCTCTGGGCCTCAGTGTTCCCATCTATATAATGGGAATAAAAGGAGTTGAGGCCTGACCTGGCTGATGCGAGAGGGTGGGGTGCAAATGGCCCAGGGGAACCCAGGAGAGAACAGGTACTGTCCTTATTACCCCAGGTCCAAGGCCTGCCCCTTCCCAAATGGAGATGATGCCGCAACAGGTGGCACCAGCTCAGGGGCGGGGGATGGGGTGGCACAGCTCGGGGGCTGGGACCTGCAGGCCGCACTCTGGAGACGAAAGGTGCTGGGCTTCACTGCAGGGGCTGGAGCAGGCTCACCTGAGGGGCGGGAATCAGTCTCTCCTGGGGGTGGGGCCCTCTCCTGAACGTGTGACTGCGATCAGGAGGATCTCCAGGCAGGGCCGTGGAGCTCAGACTCACCTGGCGGGCTGCGGCGGCGCCACGACCCGGGGGGCCCTTCCTCTTGTGCATCTTCTAAGCTGGATGCCTGGACAACTGGACCCTGTCCGGCCTTGCCCTGCCTCCTTCCCCGGGGGAGGGGGGCGTAAAAGGGGTCTGTCCTCGCGCACACGCCCTTCTCGGAACTCTGCGCCCCTCGCTCGTCACCCTACAATCGCTGTCCCGGTGCCCTCGCCCCCTGGTTTGGGCGCCCCACTTCCGCCTCGGCCCTCAGACGTCGCGACACCTGAGCGCGTTACTACTACTGGACTCGCCTCCCGGCCCGCCGAGCCAAACTACAACTCCCGGCAGACAGCGCGCGTGGGTGGTGCATGCGCAAACCATGGCGGCGGGCTGCACGGCAAAGGGGCGGGGTGTGCGCGCTTGAGAAAAGGAGAGTGTGTTGCGCATGAGCACAGAGGCCTTTGGGTTGCGCGGGAAAGAGGCGAAGGAACCTTAGACGTGGGGACTCGTGGCCTCGCGTGTCTCGGTGTCCTGCAGCCACTTGCGGGTCTAGCCTCACCTGGGTGTCTCAGCCGAGACGAGGTTAGTGCGAGGCTGGTCCCTGGAGGCGGAGGGTCTACGCCCATAGACCTTGACAGCGCTGTCTTTAAGATCCAGTTTATCTGCTGAGCGGCCCCGAGGAGGGCCTTTCGTTATTGCAAACGTAATTAACGCAAATAACTTGTCTCATTTATCCCCCAGTAGATCCAAGGAGACCGTATTTCCTATAAGAACATAGGCGAGTCCCTTTCTCTGGCTAGCAATCTTGGCTTTTCTGGCCCCCAAGGCTGGAAGACATTGGACTGTGTGAGGGTCTCTTCCCCTGTCCTTAAAGGGCCTCAGGTCTCCCTTCAGAAGCCTCTAGATGTCCCAGTGAGGTCCTCTCAGAAGGCCCTCTGGGCTCCAGAGGACTGGCGTCAGGGTACCCAGGTCTCCCCTCGGATTGCACCCCTGTATGTTCCCCGCACCGCCCACGTGCTGCATGCAGGGCCCGACGTGGCAGTGCCCACCTTGCAGCCTAGCCCAGGGGTGAGCTTGATCCTTGTACCCAGAGCGTGGTGACAGGTGGCCTCTGCCCAACCAAAGCCCGTGGGTGGTAATAGGACACTTTCCCTTGTCATTTTCAGATTTTCCGAGGGAGAGAGAAAATGAGTAAGAGGAAGACACGCACTTCAGGGACCTCAGGTATTTGACCGTAATAGGCATTTATTGCGCTAATTTATGGTAGAAATACTAGCCTGATCACACCATGTGCCTTTTAAAAAACAAGCCCTTTAGTTTGTGCTGTTGTTAGAGGTGTCATCAAGTTGGCTAAGACTTAAGGTACCCTGTGGACAACAGATCTGTAACCTGCCCTGTCCTGCACTATCAAGATCCCTGTCACTGTGTCAGTCCACCTCCTTGGTGGCCTAGAGGGGCTCTTCAGATGCAGCACAATCATAATATCACAGTACTATATGTTCCAGCATCTACTGCGACCATATTACAGGAGGTGCGGGGAAGAAGGATAGGCAATTCACCTGGGTCTAATTCTAGATATTTTACATGTGTATATGCAAATATAGTGGTTCTGTTGTATTATCAAATCTTCACACATGCTGATCTGAAACTTCTCATTTTCACTTTACAGTGCATCATGACTTCTCTTGTCTACATACAGAATTTCCTTGTTAGAAAAAAAGAAAAGCATTTATTCTTAGGGACTATGACTCCAATTCTGTGTTACTTTTGAAAGTAGTGGAAACTTATTGCCACCACTCATCTGTCAGATTGTCATACTGTGGTGGCTTATATGTTTCTGTGATGTTAGAAAGGATGCCACTGTTACTTCAAATACCAACAGGGTCATTTTTAGTAAAGAGATTTCAGTAGAGCTTCCAGACTAAGGCAGATAAGGAAAGACTTTGCTGGTTTACTTCTAAAAGAAATAACCAGTGAAAACCTTAGGAATAAAGAGGGAGGAAAAAGCAAAGATGTTCTGAAATAATTAGTCCAAATGACTTCATGGACCACTTGAACCTCAGCTTCCATGACCAAGACCAGAACTAGGTGGTACTCGGCTCCTGTGCTGACTTCTTCAGGGGAGCACAGTATAAGATCCAGGGGAGGAGGGGAGAGGAAATGTGGAACAAAACTAAAAAATATTTAAAAGTCTGGGGAGCTCTGGTGGTCTAGTAGCAAGAAGCTGCACTGTGATCCCAGAGGTACACAGTTCAAATCCACCAGATGCTCTGCTGGAGAAGAAGGGACAATCACCTCCTGTACCAGTCAGATCCAATTTGACGGTACACACAAAAAAAAGAATAAAAATTTGTAAAAATAGTCAAAAGTCGAAATTTTCTGGTCTAATAGAGACTACATAGGTTGTACATAGGGTTTTCGGAGGCCTGCTATTTCAGAAGTAGATGGCCAATCCTTCTTCCTAGTCTGTCTTAATCTGAATGTTCAGATATAGAAAAGTATCAGACAGACCAGCATTTTACAGAAAAGTGAAAAATATATCCCTTATTGTGGAGTTAACCATTAGTATCAGTGTTGTCCCTGCCTTTGGCACACATGTCTTTCCGCACTTATTTCCCGGCTCCACCATCCACCAGGATACCCATCCACTTCTACCCACTCCCTTCAACATCTTGCTGCTTGCTGAAACTGAGGTGGACCTGAAGTGCTTGCTGCAGAGGGTCAAGGACTACAGCCTCCAATATGGATTGAGGCTCATTGTCAAGAGGACAAAGATTCTCACAACTGGACCAATTGGCAGCATCAGGATGGATGTTGAAGAGATTGAGATTGTTCACAGCATTAGTTTGCTTGGCTCCACACTCTCGGCACCAGCATACCATCAGGTGAAATCCATGTGTATAACCTGCGTTTATGTCTCTTAAAAAACGTATTTGCAATGAATAAGTCATTGATTGTGCAGAATTCAGTCATCCTATTTCCAGCTCCATTTCTGTCACCAAATCCATGTTTTCCAACTACTGATTCTTCTTCCCTGTTCCTCACTTTTGCGTTCCAGTCACCCATTATTATCAATGCATCTTGATTGCATGTTCGATCAATCTCCGACTGTAAGAGTTGGTAGAAATCATCTATTTCTTCTTCTTTGGCTCTGGTTGTTGGTGCATATATCTGAATGATAGTGGTATTCACTGGACTTCCTTGTGAGCATATGGATATAATCCTATCACTCACAATGTTGTGCTTCAGGATAGCTCTAGAAATTTATTTTTTTACTATGAAAGCAACTCCATTTTTCCTCACCTTTTCATCTCCAGAATAATATATCATATGATCGTCTGACTCAAAATGCCCCATGCCAGTCCATCTCATCTATCCAATGCCTAGTATGTCAATATTTATGCATTCCCAGGAAATTAAAAGATGTATTGTGATGGGAAAGTCTGCTGTTAGGGACCCCTCCAAAGTATTGAAGAGCAATGATGTCTCTCTGGAGACTATGGTCTGTGCTATCACTTGTTATGCATCAGAGATTTGGACAATAACTAAGAAGGATAGAAGGATAATTGATGCCTTTGAGACATACTTTGGACACGTAAAGAGGGACCGGTCCTTGGAGAGGGACATCATGTTTGGTAGGGTAGAGGAACAGCACAGGAGGGGAAGGCCCTCTATGAGGTGGATTGATTTGGTGACTGGGGTAATCGGGATGGGTGTGTCGGAGACAGTGCGATTGGCACAGGACAGAGCAGAGTGTAGGGCTGTTGTACATAGGGTCGCTATGAGTTGCAAGTGACTGGACGGCACATAACAACAACAATAGAGACTAAGGGGACCTCTGAGACTATGGCCCTTAGATCACCCTTCAAATCTAGACTAAAACTATGGTTAACTTTTCAACCAAACAACAGACAGGTCTATAAGATAGACACTGGCACTATAGAGTCATTCATTCTTTAGAATAACCAACCATATCATACAGGGTCAAAAGAGCAATATTTCCAACGGATAAAGGTAGAAAGGGATAGTATAGAAGGACTAATGAAGATGATAATTGTGGTGGTGGTGATTGTTATATGCTTTTGAGTCACTTGTGACCATGTGTACAAAAGCCCTAAACCCTGTCTATCCTGTGTCAATCTTATTATCTCTGACACACCTACGCCCATTACCCCAGTCACTGAATCAATTCTTCTCATCTAGAGTCCGTGCTGTCCCTCCACCTTCCCAAGAATGATGTCCTTCTCCAAGGATTGGTCCCTCCTTACAACATGCCAAAAATATGTCAGACAAAGCTTCAGAATCGTTGCCTTCAAGGAACAGCCTGAATTCTCTCTCTCTACGACAAACCTTTTTGTTCCCCTAGTAATCAATGATATAGTCAATATTCTTCTCCAGCACCATTGCTCAAAGATATCAGTGCCCCTATCATCCCTAGTTATTGTTCAGCTTTCAGACACATAGTACATAATTGCAAAAACGATGGCCTGGGTCAGGAGCACCTTAGTCTTCAGACTGACATCATTTCTCTTCAGTACTTTGGAGAAATACCTGACAGCCAACTTTCCCAATGTAATTTGTCTTTTAATTTCCTGTCTGCTGGTACCAAGAGTGTTGATTGTGGGGCCAAGCAAACTGAAGCAGTTAACAATCTCAGTCTTTTCACAATCAGTCATGATGCTACCAGTTCGCCCAGTGGTGAGAATTTTTGTTTTCTTTTTGTCTTTTTTTTATTATTATACTGATTTATTTACAAAGTTTGAATGCATTGTTTTTTACAGAAGATCCTTCCCATTTCCTTCACCACTCCCTACCCATCAAATTGTACAATCCTATGGTTAACACCCCACTTTGTTTTCCTGATGTTGAGCTTCAACCCATATTTAAAGAAATGGGGAGAGTGAGTTTATTAGGGGTATTGGTATCAATGTTGTGAAACAAAATGTATTTCAGTAATTAAAAAATATGCTATATGAATGTTCACTCAAATTACAGTGAGAAGAAAACACGGCCACCTTATGAATCAAGCAGAGCATTGTCTGATATAGTGCAGGAAGATGAACCCCTTGAGTTGGAAGGCATTCACAATATGATTGGGAAAGAACTACATCTCAAAGTAGAGTCTGCCTTAATCGTATGGATGAAATAAAGCTTTTATAGGGTTTAGTTCCTCATATGGTATAGCTCAAAATGAGAAGAAGCAGGTATAAAGCATCTACTAATTATTGAAACATGAAATGGATTACTATGAACCTAGAAAAATTGAAAGTTGTCAAAAATGAAATTACATACATAAAAGTCTATATTCTAGATATTAGTGAGTTGAAATGGACTGTTATTGACCATTTTGAATCAGAAAATCTTAAATTCTCCTATGCTAGGAATGCCAAATTGAAGTGAAGTGGTATCACACTCATCTTCAAAAAGAACATTTCAGGCTGGTCCAATGGTAGTAGGTTATCAGAAACTATTAACATCAGTTGTAACTAAAGTTGTTATACAATCCCTGCACTGCTGAATTTGACTGGCTTTAAAAAGAACATTTCAAAGTTTGTCCTGAGTACAGTGCTGCAGGATAATATCCACACACCCACAAGGAAGACCAATTAATGTGACTGTCATGGATTGAATTATGTCCCCCTAAAATACGTGTCACCTTGACTGAACTATGATTCTCAGTGGTTGGTTATGTAATGTGACTGTTCTAGGATAATCCTCCATCATTTAATCTGATGCGTTAAACCAATCACCTGCAAGTGCCTTTCATCTCTGATCCATGCAAAGGGAATTTCTTTGAAATGAGGCCTGCAGCCTTTTATTTTTACAAAGAATGAAAAGGAGAAACAATCCAGCAGACATCAGAGGGACTTAACCACCAAGAAAGAACTGAGAATGGAGAGCATCTTTTGTATCTGACATCTCTGTCCCAGGAAACTTCAATAAAAAGGAGACCTAGAGAAAGAAAGCGTTTCCCCTTGAGATGGTTCCTTTATTTGGGGAAGCTCTGGTGATATCATGCTTGGAAAAATAGAGGGTGAGCAAAAGAGGAAGTGACTGTAACAATGGGCTCGAGTGTATCAGATACAAGGAGCTGCACATAAGTAGGGTAAGATTCAGCTCCGTTGTTCATGTGGTCACTTTGAGTCATACTTGACAGCACCCACCAACAATAACAACAATTGATGGCAAAAGCCGTAGGAAGTTGCTCGGCTAATTCAAAGGCT